TTCTTAAGCACTATTCGGTGTTTATAATGTCCAAGGCCACGGAAGCTGACCTATGGACCTGCAGACAGAATCACCAGGAGGCCCTGCGGTCTTACTTGGCTAGGTTCAAAGAAATTAAATCCAGGATATCCGAACTAAACGAGGGAGTAGCACTCTCTGCACTCAAACAAGGGCTATGGTTCGACTCACCTTTCAGACAGGAACTATCGGTTCGCTGTCCGGTGTCTCTAGACGACGCTTTGCATCGAGCTTCGAGCTTCGCTCGCTACGAGGAAGAACAAAATGTCCTCCGAGAACAGTTCGAAGCCGGGTTACTGACACCCAACCTCTCCACCTTTGCAGACACGGACTCCCTTATGAGATCGTGACAGACATTAGTTCTACGTATCCACCGGACCCTTCTGTCCGGAAAACGGAGAACTTAACAAAGAACGGCTAAGAGATCGGCAAGGTGTGATCAAAGAACAAAGAGATCGAATCCTTGTCCGAATCTAGAGTTACCAGCAGGCCGCGACCCGCTACTATAATTCTGGTGTAAAACACCTGAGCTTTAGTATTGGCAATCTCTTGCTACACAAGGTATTCAATAACACTAAAGAGTGTGGCACCAACAAGCTGTGCTCTAACTGGGAAGGTCCTTACGGGATCGTCGAAGTAGTCCGCAGCGGTGTCTACAAACTCGCGAACATCAGAACCGGAGTGCCAGAGATAAGAATGTGGAATGTTATAAATCTCAAACATTACCACCTCCGAGCACCGACAATAATCGAACTACGTTCAGGCTTGATCCCTTGACGGGGTACGTAGGCAGCTCAACACCGAGTCCAGCCACTATCTTTTCTTACATACTTAGTCAAAATTATAAAATGTATGTAACATCGCGTTTGTGAATAGAAACCCTTATTCCAAAACTCGCTCACTTCAAGATCTTTTAAAACGATCTTATAGCTCGAAGCCCCGAGCCCGCTAAGTAACGATTGAGCCGAACAATCTCAGCTTAGTTCGCTATCATATTGGGTAATTAATAGTCATAGTTTATAGCTCGCTAAATGATAACGAACTCTACCAAAGTAGATTAAAAAGTCGTTATCCGCAGTAAACTATCATAAATCGATCTAAACAGAACGATCATCAAGCTCGTAGCTCGCTGAGTAACTAGGCGCCTACAAAACAAAAGTTACTATCACAGTTCGCTACTCGCTACTCGGCACCGTAATGCGATCTCTCTAAAACGATCGTATGGTCACAACTTATAAAAATTCGGCACATTTTAAACAAAGAGCATTTATAACGCCTTGTTCGAAATCCTGATCTCATGATCAAAAATCACGCGATATAGGTCGTTCAGGTCCCATGGGGTGAAAAATTCTCCAAAAATAGGCCGCCCCTTTAGTTCGTTTCTCACTAAACGGGCTGGGGGGCAATTGTTGGTGTTGGATTTAGCCCAAATCCAGCCCATAAAGCACTTTGAGTGAACAAGCCATTATAAGAGAAGTTTTGGGCCCTATAGGCCCGTAACTAAGGCAAGGAAAACATCTCCAAGGAATATACTCAAGTACAAGTCAATCTAAGAGGACGCGGAAAGCTGGATAAAAAGAGATCGCGGAGATCTCGGAGAAGAAGAGGTCGTGGAGAGATAGATAAGAGGAGATCGCGGAGATCTCAGAGAAGGAGAGAACGTATTAACCCGCGGATCTCGGAACAGTTTGTCTCGTTCTATTTAGTATGTTTCGTTCTATTTAGTATAAATAGGAGTTGAATCTCTTGTAAAAGGCATCCAATCTTTAGCTCAAAAACACTTTAAAAAACATTCATCTTTCATCAATACAATCCAAATTCGTCGATCTTTGTCTTTATTTTTACATCGCTCTTACCAGAATTCTTGCCCAAATTCTTCTACCACAAAATCAACATACTAAATCCTTGAGTGTGGATTTTAGGATCCACAGTTTGGAACCGAGAATGGTAGTGACTATTGGATCTTGAGAAATTCGTGGGGCAGCACATGCGAAGAGGCTGGCTACATGAAGATGGCTCGGAACATTGCAAATCCAAGAGGGTTATGTGGTATCGCAATGTGAGCTTCACACTCAAGAACTCGTTTTCTACCAGTAAAAGCTCCATGGCCTAATTATATTAACTAAATGTACGTTATGCAAAGGATCGAGCGAGCCAACAATTTATTCGACTTTGAAGGAATCATAATGTTCAATGGGTTTGGTTATGTAAGATATTTTGGACTATGGAATAATTGTAATATTAATTATACGAATATGATTTGAAGTTAGTATATATAATAATATAATTAATACCAATAGTACTATTGTGTGTATATATATATATATATATATATGGTATGGAGAAAGAGATAAATATACACATGATAAAAGTAGAAAAAAATGTAAACAAAAAAAAAAGACAAAACCCATGTGAGTTTTATTAGAATGTGGTCTACAAAAGATTCTAGCAAAGATTTGTATCAAAAAATCAATCAAAGATATAAAATGTCTGTTTCTTATCTGATCGTTTTTTTTTTCTGTAACGATTTTTTATTTTTATTTATTTATATCAAGCACAAGAAAAGTTCAGATTAAATGGTTGATTTTGTTTACAAGACAAACAGAAAGAAGAAGGAAATGGTATCTGTCAAAGTCTATATATATATTGCAAATCTCTCTTCTTCCTGCAACCCTTCATGCAAATGCCATCATCGCCTCGTTGGGAATGATCTTCTACGTACCGGGACAAAAATAAGAGTTTGTGCATGGTAGCTAGTCTGTCAGACCCGCATTCCTTTGATAGAAGATATGAGTATGTGGTAGACCCACATTTGTTTGTGTAGTGGACCCATATTTGTTTGATATTAGGTTACATGTCTGATTTCATATATATACAGATAAATTACATATGCAAAACCATGGAATGGATGAATGTTTATGATTACTTAAGAGGTATGGGTTGAAACTCATACATCTCCAAGTTTGGGATCAGAGTATGTTATATAATTCTGTTCCATTTACTCAATCCCAAGTTTCGTCCTTAGTGCTTTTCTTTCAGGTGAGCTAACGATGGAGATGTTATAAGCATGTATAACGTTGGAAACTAATTAAAGTTCTAATGTCATGATCCATTATTGTGATACCGACCCCGAACCACTGTGACGATATATACAAAGTTTTATTCCACCACTACTACTATATAAACATTTTAGCTTTTACTGGCCATGCAAAAACTAAAAAGACTTAAAGATCTTCCAACTTTTTAAAATATTTTCTTTATCCTGATCACTGATCATCAGTATGATTTTTTTTCATATTTTTGAAATACATTTTGGTTCGCCGATCGAGTTCTCAATTTCTTGCGCACTTCGATGGCATTGCATACAAATTGTCTCTCGATATTTAACACATATCCATAAGTTTTGTGGATTAATCTGAGATTCTATTCAAAATTTAGTTTATATAAACATTTTATATATATATGATCAGTCGACGTCGTCAGGTTATATATTAATGTTGGGATTAATGTTTACCTACAAGAGTTTATCAATGTTTCAAAAGATTATTTATTGGCAGCAATATCGGACATATCTAAATATGTGGGGGCACATATCGGTTTAGAATGCATGGGTACGTGTTTCACGTGACAAACTTTGCCTGAGGGTAAATAATTGGAGTGGGGTAATGGGAATCAGGCCAGTGGCATATACAGGTATGATGGACAACCTTAGCTTGACTCTAATCCATGTATTTGCATAAACTGTTAGACTTTTTCCCAGCACAGCACTCATAATCTCAGTCTTCGTGAATTCAGTAAATTATGTCCATCATCGTCAAGACGCCTTGGCAATCGTTATAGCCACAAAAGTTAAATAAACTTCAAGACCCTTTTATTATCTTTAGGTACGCATCTAGCTCGCATGATTGTGGTTTAATGGTAAGAAAGTGTGGGGTTACACCACTTCATTTAGGTTGATCCTCCTTAGAAACAAAACACAATTATGTGGAAAATCAAGGTTTGGACCAAATATCCAAACAGTTTATATGATAGTCCTATAACAAGCCATTTAGCTATCTCTTACATTAGTTGGAAGATATTTCAAACTCGGAACAGGTAGTATAGTAACTCATTTAGATTTCTTAGATCTCATGGTCCATTGACTCGAATTCATTCGGAACTCATAATGTCTGTTGACTTGTTGAACCAAGAAAAAATTCACTATAGCATCTTGGTGTATTTCTACCGGAGTAAAAAAAAAATACAAAGCTACGCGTCTAAAACCAAAAAAATACACAAAGCTACGCGTCTAAAAAAAAAAGCAAAGCTACGCGTCAGCATACAGCACACTGTCATGTGTCTTCAGATCCACCTTTGTTTTTGGGGAATGACCCACGAACCACGGTACATCAGCCAACTACGAACATTGCATGTGGCTTCAGACCCACCTTTATTACGTTTAAACAACTGTTGCCTCATGCCTGACTCGTACCACCTTGCCTGACTCGAACCACCTTGCCTGACTCGTACTTGGGTAAAAAGTATCATAAATCTATTGTCTATGGATAAAGAAATTGGATATCAGAATTGTTTCTTTTTTTTTCCAACTACCCTCCATGTAACAGCAATTATCACCCGACTCTGAGTTACATGTTTCAAATTATATATTATATGATTATTATATTAAATAATTACATATAATCCTACATATATTAAATCTTATTTTGGAGAAATTCAGTGTTATATTATGGAAAAAGTGTTATAGTGTAACCATTTTGAAGTTTGAAATCATGTGAAGTTTATTTTGTTTAAATATGATTGTTTAGCTTTAAATATTTTATTTTCATAATGTTCAAAAAAAAATTATTTTTCTGATTAAAAAATAATAACCATGCAAGTATTTAAATGTTGACTCGAGTCACGAGTATCCCAGAACTAAAGACCCTATACCCACGCCATGTATCAAGAAATCGAAACCGAACGTTTTAACCTTTTGATATATAAATACGGAAAATCTTAATCATTAGACCCAAACGAAATAACCATAAATATTATACAAACTCCAAACAGTGACTCCATACAAGTCCAAAATATATTACAAAGCCAAACCAATCGACTACATTATTTTTACTTCAAAGTCGAATACAGTATTGGCTCACTCGATCCCTTGCATAGCATACATTTAGTTCATATGATTAGGCCATGGAGCTTTTGCCGTTAGTAAACGAGTTCTTGAGAGGGTATGAAGCTCGCATAGCGATGCCACATAACCCTCTTGGATTGACAATATTGCGAGCCATCTTCATGTAGCCAGCCTCTCCCCAAGTGTTGCCCCACGAGTTTCTCACGATCCAATAGTCATGACCGTTCTCGGTTCCATACCCAACCACAACAACTCCATGATTTAGGTTTGTTCCGCACGTTCCATCAAAAACTCCCTTTTGAGGGGTAAAACAAATTTCAATGCATTATATATAGACCGAAATTTCCGGTTACAAAACTTTAAAAGACATTTGTAAACAAAAATTCTTAAACAATCTTTTGTTCATTACCGATTCGTAAAGCTGGAAATCTCGGCTGCTAGAATCAATAACGGCAGTTACAGGCTGGTGAGCAACCGCTTTCATGAGAGCAAATTCGTCGTTTGCAGGCAAATTCTCATAACCATCAATCATAACCTTCTTATTGTTTTCCTACACAAATAGTATTGAAAAAGTAAAGATATTGAAAATTGATTTCTCTTTTTGTTTGTTGCTAGATATATCATTTATATATTTGGCCGTAACTATACCGACCTTGAGGCGGCCGTCGCAAGCTCCATTAACAGCCTTGTAAGGATAATCGTTGTCAGTACCAAGACCACCATTGTTAACTATGAATTCATAGGCAGTCTCGACTTTACCTCCTCCGCAACCATTATTTTCTTTGTTACAATTGATCAAATCTTGTTCAGACAAAGTGACTAACTCTCCTGTCACGATCTTGTTTAAGCCTTCTACTGCCCCCACAGTCGAGAACGCCCAACAACTCCCTTCACACAAGCACGAAGCATGCATATGAAGATTGTATACTTTTGGACTAATTAAATATCGAGAAATGTTATTGGTAACTAGTAAGTGTCGATTCTAGGTTGAATCCTTTTAAAAAAAAGTGTCGATTGTAGGTTTTAACTTTTAACTAACACTAACTTATAAATCTATCAGTTTTTAACAATGATTTTTCAAGAAAAATGAATTTAATCGTATGTTTTTGTAATCAAATATAACATAGAAGACAGAATTTTTTTTATTATCTTGACAAATGAAATCCATATAAATAGCACAAGAGCCACCGTTGTACATTTTACTTTTCAGCTGTTTTTAATATTTTAATAATTATATATAAAAAAAGTTTTAGCAAACCGATCGAATCTTTAAAATCACAATACTTACTGCAATGGCCTTGATCTTTTACTTCAGTCACGGCACCTTCATTTCTCCAGTCAATGGACTTAGGAAGCACATCACCAGCACTAGTTTTGTATCGATCGCTACTACTCATAAACACGTGGTTCCTAGGTGGTTTTGGATCAGCCCCGTGACAAACTTCTTTGTACTCATGTAGAGATAGATCAGCAAACCGGTTCAAACCGAGTCGATAACCGAGATTCTCAGCGTTACGGTTAGTGATGAAACGGAGGTTGTCCTTGAAAATCGTTAAACGCCGTTCCTTCTCAGCAACGGAGTCGTACACCTTCCCATGTTTGACAATCCATGGCTCGAATATTAACGATGCCTCGACATCGAAAACTCCGTTGCGGCGGCCGGGACCGGCGGTTTGATGGTGGCCAGGACCGGCGGTCACGTGGTGGTTATCATCGTATGTAACGACGGACATGTCTATGGCCCTGGCACAAGATGCGATGACCATTACTAGTAAGAGGATCAGCAAGGCTGATTTAGCACTACCCATTTTCTTTTCGGAGCAGCACTAATGAAACTTTGATTTGTTTTTGTATTTTTTATAAGTTAAAAAAAAATAAAAAGAAGAGAGGAGGTTTTTGTGTTGTGTTATTTTGGCTTACAAATGACACGTTTTTATAGTACTCAGAATTTGCTTTTTTTTTTTTTTTTTTTAATCTGTGGGAAAACCTACTGTTGCAAGTATTGTTGGAAGTGTGCTACGCATTGTAAGTATTGTTGGAGGTGAGCTATGCACCCTGCAAAGAGCACGTCTCAAACTAAGAGCATGTCCACTAGTAAACTCCATAGAGGGGTTTATGAGCATTAAAAAACAATATTTTTTTGTTGGGTGGTTTGGGAAGAACTCGGGTGAAAATGGAGGTTCCAGTAGTGAATTCCATTTTGAGGTTCATCCCGGAAAAAAAATATTTTTTTTTGAAGTTTAGAATATTTTTTTAAAACAAAAAACACACATTTATTATAATAAAAGAAATACAATTTATTACACATTATTTTATTTTAGAACATACAATATATAAGAGTAAAATTTAATACAAGAAAATTAGAAACATACAATATTTTAAAATTTTAAAAAAGTTAACCAAATTTATTCCAAATATTTTCTATTAAATCCTCTTTTAATCGTTCATGTATCTGGTTGTCACGGACTTCGTTTCGTTTTGTCATCATCAAATTTAAGACATTTGTAGGCATACGGGTAGAATACGCTTATATCAACAGGCGAATTTCTGCTTCCTTCATCTTGATGGAAGTCTTCTAAATTGTATCGAATGTAGACAAGTCGTTCGTTTTCTACTATCATATTGTGTAATATGATAGAGGCCCGCATAATCTTGCCAATTTTTTCTTTATCCCAAAAAAGAGCCGGATTTTTTATTATTGCAAATCTGGCTTGAAGAACGCCAAAAGCCCGCTCCACATCTTTCCGGACGGATTCTTGAGTTGTTGCGAATAATTTGTTTTTCTCTCCTTGAGGAAGATGAATTGATTGTATAAATGTTGCCCATTTAGGATAAATTTCGTCTGTGAGATAGTATGGCAAACGGTACTCGTTACCGTTTACCGAATATCTCACTTTTGGAGCCCGACCATGCAAGATGTCATCAAAAACTGGTGAACGATCAAGAACGTTAATATCATTTAATCTACCTGGAGGTCCAAAAAATGCGTGCCATATCCAAAGATCTTGTGATGCAACTGCCTCTAAAACGATTGTCGGTTTTCCTGACCCGCGTGTATATTGTCCTTTCCATGCAGTTGGACAATTCTTCCACTCCCAATACATACAATCGATGTTTCCTATCATTCCGGGAAAGCTCCGTTCCTCTCCAATGTTCAGTAACCGTTGAAGATCATCAGCTGTGGGTCTTCTTAGATACTCATTTCCGAACAAGGATATTATACCCTCAGTGAAATGTTCCAAGCATAACAATGCCGTACTAGCACCGAGCCGGAGATATTCGTCAACTGCATCCGCTGCGGTACCATATGCCATCATACGGATTGCTGCCGTGCATTTTTGTAGAGGAGATAGCCCTAATCTTCCGGTGGCATTTCTTCTTTGCTGGAAGTACGGAACCTCATTGGCATGTCGGTTGACAATACGCATGAACAAATCTTTGGTCATTCTAAATCGTCGTCGGAAAATATGTGGCGGATAAGTTGCATCATCACTGAAATAATCATTCCATAACCGCAAGTGGCCTTTTTCACGCTCTCTTTCAATGTACGCTCTTTTTTTCTTTTTCATTTTTTCTTCATTTTGTTTGACAAGCGAATTGAACATGGCTTCCAACTTCTCATCAAATGCATCATCTACTGCATCATCATATGCATCATCCAATCGATCATTGCTTGATGATGCCGCCATAGTATTGTATTTAGAAATTTGTGGTTAGGGATAAGGAGAGAAAGAGTTTTTGAATATAAAAGAAGTTTACCAAGTTATGTGCTTGATAAACCGTATTTGGTTTTTGTGTGGGAGAGAGACTTTTTTTTTAAAAAAGGAAAGATGAAGTGATTGCAGATCAATATGAGAAAATGAGGAAGAAGGAAATTTGCTACGAATGAACATACAATAGTTAGAAGACATATAAATAGACGGCTTGAAGTTCAAAGATGTGGCTACAATTCTACTTGGGAACGTATGGTCAATATTACAAGACAAAATATGCGGTAACAAGGGAAAACAACAACAGCAATTGGCCCCTCCTTGATTTGAGCATATAGTCACGGACGTGTCAGGGTTGTTGTACTGCCCAACTTGCTGTGACACTTCCTGAAAAAAAAAAACGTGCAGGTCAGAAGCAAGTAAAATGAAATAGAAGATCATACCAAACATAAAACAACAACTTAATACATGAAAGATCATATTCTAAGGCAAAGAACAATCTCACTCAAACCATACCGAATGAATATCAATCTTTAAGCAAGAAAAAACCAAAATGAAATAGAAGATCATACCAAACATAAAACAACAACTTAATACATGAAAGATCATATTCTAAGGCAAAGAAGAATCTCACTCAAACCATACCGACTGAATAGAGTTAAGGAAAAAACAACAGCCATTAACTTGTTGTTCTGTCCAAACCATACCGACTGAATAGATGTACCCTAAAGACCATACACAGAACTGATCAACTTGTTTTTCAATGAGATTTCAATCTCAGTTAGCGGTCCATGCTTAGCTAAGAGGCTCTCAAGAATCCTCTTGTCCCTAATCTTGTCTTTCATTTCAAGGTCCTTATGTTTCATATCCCACATGGAAGAAAACTCTTTCATATCCTTGTTTTCACCCTTAACACCGCCTGCTTTCTTCGCATTGGCCTTCGAAGCCTTGACACCAGGAGGGCGAGCCTCAACTTCACTTTCATTCACGCTTCCAGGCATCGACGATGATGACTGTGCCGAGTCTTCTACTTTTCTCTTTTTGACTGTTGCGCCATCCTTTTGTGAGCTGGTCGTGCACCATTTCTGGTCGAACCTCAGCTCTCTCCATGCGTGTTCGAGGGCAAACTTAATGCCGTAGTCGTTGAAAAAAATTTCATGTGCAAGCTTCATCACATCGTTTTCATTCTGACCGCTATTTTTTTCTTTCTGTGCAGCTGCGTATGAACCCACAAATTTACATACGTGGTCATTAAGCCTTCCCCATCGTTGCTTGCACTGCGACCATTCTCTTCTTGGCAGATCTCCAAGCTCCTCGCATCCGTTGTAATAGATCTGGATCCTCTTCCAGAATGCACCGGCTTTTTGTTCATTGCCCACTATGGGATCCTTGCTGGTGTTGAGCCAAGAACTAATCAGGAGCAAGTCTTCCTTCGGACTCCAGAGTTTTCTCTTCAATGCAATATCAGAAGGACCATCAGATCCTTGTGTGCTAAACAAAATGTATGATGATCCTAAGTCTATGCACGGAGAGTACGATTCAGGGTTTAACTGACTACTTAGAAGGTGAACAAACCCTTCAGAGGGCGTAAATGAGTTCTGAGAATCCATGTCGATGAAAGAAAGTGTGAAAGAAAGAAGGGAGAAAGGAAATAATGATAGTTAACAAGGTGAAAGAGTGAAGAAGAAGCGAAAGAGAAAGAGTGAAGTGAAGCGTGAAAGAAAGAGTGAAGAGAATAAAAGAGAAAAAGGAAGTTTGCAGTATAGAAGTAGATAAGTAAAGGATTTGTTAAAAGAGAGTAAATTGATTTATGGTTGAATGTCTTTTAAGTGTCTTAATGGTAGTGGTTATGTGTCTTGTAAGTGTTGGTTGAGTGTCTTATTATTAGTAAAAGCGTGTCTTTATGTTTCCGAACAAGTTTTGAGAGTTTTTGAGAACAGGTGGATATAATTACTACACCTAACATGTCCTATCAAGCAATAAACACAAATATACCACGTTCCATCTAAACTACTCAACTAAACCATTAAGTTACAGGAGAACTAACCTGTTTCGGTGGACCATATGCCATCGGTGAACCATATGCCATGAAGTCAAACCCTTGTTCCGTTGAGTCCATATTATCCTCACAACAAAAGATAAAAAGAGAATTAAAACAAGTACATTAATTGAGCCGAAGTAAAAAAATTAATGTTACCCTACTTAGTAATCAATCCTAACCCAGTTCTAAACCCTTAAGATATATGCGAACAGTCCAATAACACACATAAAGAACAGGGTAGAAAGACTGTCACCTTGAGAACCAATTTGCTCCTTCAAAACCCTGACTTCTCCATCAAGCCTTGCTAACTCCTCACGGAGTTCTCCCTCAAGTCTTGCTTGTTCCCCACGGACTTCTCCTATAACCGGATCGACAAAGTTCATTCTACCACGATCAGCACTCACGATCAACTCCCTCTGATTTTCTATCCTTGTCGCGAGGATTTCGCATTGCTCTGTGACCGCATGATCCCACCATTGGTGGATGTGGTCGAATGAGCCCTACATTCAACACAAAGTGTTAGCAAAGAGTTAAGGAGGTCCAAAAGATGAGTTAAATGAACAAACTGAACAAAAAAAACAAAGTAATATACATAAATAACTAACCTCATTAATCCATTCTGGACAAGCATAATACTTGCGACCGGCGGCGTTTTCTTTCAGCTTCACCTCCCTGCCGCATAAGCACTTCGCCGGTATGTCATAAGTGGCATCGGCGTAAGCCCAATAAGGAACCTCTGAGCCTTCTTCAGATGAACCGCTGCTGTAGCTTGGCATGATCTGCCACAAAACAATATGATCAGCAAAACTATATGAACTCACACGATTACAATATGATATGAACTTATGCAATATGATCATATCATCTACTAATATATAGCAAACAACAAATGAGTAACCATTTCAACCAAAAACTCATAAGCGATTAACCAGTTCATATAACCATATAGCAAACAACAAATAAGAAGCCAATCATATAGCAAAATACCATTTAGCAAACAACAAATAAGAAGCAAATGGCTTTTAAGATACACACGAATCTTGATAATGTATCGAGAGTGACCCAGTTTGAATACCAACACAGAGCCCCAAATAAACCCCCGAGATAGAAAAAACTTAGTTCATCGCAACAATATTCAGATTTTCAATCTTAAAACCATGAAATCGTATTCGAAGTAAGGATATGACGGTTTTAAATGAACGAATTAGACGCCAATTGCAATCCCAAATGAAAGCCCCAAAATTTGTAAACAATTTCGAAAACCCTAATTTCAACGAATCTAGGGTTTGCAAATCTACTAAATTCGTACCGAATACTAGATTTGGGGTACCAAAGACAACCGTCGAACCTCTAATCCACCGAAATCGAACAAAAAAACACCTGATTTCAACCCGATTTTTTTCCCCAAAAATCGCAAACCCTAGAATCGCGAAATCGAAATCAACAATTAAAACTACGAGGAACCGAAGCTTACCAGGACTATGGGGACGGAAGATCGATGTTCGGATTGCACCTCCACCGAGAATAATCGACGGAACAGGCGGTGACGACGGAATCGCCCTGAATCGCCAAAGAACACGAACGAGAGAAGAAAAAATCGGGGAAAGAGAAAATGTTTTCTTTCTGCGGTTTTTTTTTCTCCCAAAATGACGCGTTTTCCACAGCCAATCGCCTTATGCCATGTGGTTCGCATGCAGAGTCTTCAGGCTCGACGGGATGAACCTCTCCTTCCGAGTTGGGTCTTTTTTCTTTTTTTTTAAAACCCAAAAAGCCTATGATTCTGTGCCCAAAATTGTAGAAGACCCTTTAATGGATCTGGTCTAAGTCCAGTTCAATTAAATTCGGTATATCAATCTCTGTCGGTCCGGTTTCGCTCATGTTGACCCAACTCAGCCCACTATGGTTTTCCCGCCTTGATTCAAGTTATTTCGGCCCGTCAAGAGTTGCCAAGGCCCATCGAACTCAGTTCAGTCGAGTCAGTAAAGAATCATGATATAAGGAGAATCTTAAAAAATGGAAGATTTCTATGGCGGCTACGAGAAAAGTATCAAAAAATCAATCAAAAGATATAAAATGTCTGTTTTCTTATCTGATCGTTTTTTTTTCTGTAACGAGTATTTATTTTTTCATTTCTATCAAACACAAGAAAAGTTCAGATTAAAATGGTTGATTTTGTTTACAAGACAAACAGAAAGAAGAAGGAATGGTATCTGTCAAAGTCTATATATTGCAAATCTCTCTTCTTCCTGCAACCCTACATGCAAATGCCATTATCGCCTCGTTGGGATTGATCTTCTACATACCACGACAAAAATTTGAATATTTGAAAAATAATAGTTTGTGGTAGCTAGTCTGTCAGACCCGCATTTGTTTGATATAAGATATGAGTATGTGGTAGACCCACATTTGTTTGTGTAGTGGACTCATATTTGTTTGATATTATGTTACATGTCTGATTTCATATATATACAGATAAATTACATATGCAACCATGGATGTATGTTTATGATTACTTAAGAGGTTATGGGTTGAAACTCATACATCTCCAAGTTTGGGATCAGAGTATGTTCCATTAACTCAATCCCATAATCAGAAGTTTCGTCCTTAGTGCTTTTCTTTCAGGTGAGCTAACGATGGAGATGTTATAAGCATGTATAACGTTGGAAACTAATTAAAGTTCTAATGTCATGATCCATTATTGTGACACCGACCCCGAGCCACAGTGACGATATATATATATAACAAAATTATTCCACCACTACTACTATATAAACATTTTAGCTTCTACTGGCCAAAATTAAAAAGACTTAAAGATGTTCCTACTTTTAAAAATATTTTCTTATCCTGATCACTGATCATCAGTATGATTTTTTTCATATTTTTGAAATACATTTTGGTTCGCCGATCGAGCTCTCAATTTCTTGCGCACTTTGATGGCATTGCATACAAATTGTCTCTCGATATTTACACATTTCCATAAGTTTTGAGGATTTATCTGAGATTCTATTCAAAATTTAGTTTATATAATAATTATATATATATATATATATATATATGATCAGTCGACGTCGTCAGGTTGGGATTAATGTTTTCCTACAAGAGTTTATCAATGTTTCAAAAGATTATTTATTGGCAGCAACATCGGACATATTTAAATGTGTGGGGGCGCATATCGGTCTAGAATGCATGGGTACTTGTTTCACGTGACAAACTTTGCCTGAGGGTTAATTATTGGAGTGGGGTAATGCGAATCAGGCCAGTTGCATATACAGGTGTGATGGACTGTATTTGCATAAACTGTTAGACTTTTTTTCCAGCACATATCAGTGCACCATGCACAATTTCAGTCTTCGTGAATTCAGTAAATTATGTCCATCATCATCAAGACGCCTTGGCGATCTTTATAGCCACAAAAGTTAAATAAACTTCAAGTCCCTTTGTTATCTTTAGGTAACAAAGCTACGCGTCTAAAAAAAGAAAAAAAAAATGCTACGCGTCAGCATATAGCACACTGTTATGAGTTGTAACCGCATCCATATGTGTCTTCAGATCCACCTTTGTTTTGGGGAACGACCCACGAACGACGGTACATCAGTCGACTATGAACATTGCATGTGTCTTCAGACCCACCTTTATCACGTTTAAACAACTGTTGCCTGACTCGTACCAACTTGCCTGACTCGTGTAACCATTTTGAAGTTTGTAATCAAGTAAAGTTTATTTTGTTTAAATATAAATATTATATTTTCTGATTAAAAAATAATAAATATGCAAGTATTTAAATGTTGACTCGAGTCACGAGTATCCCAGGCCAGAACTAAAGACCCGCGCGGCCGCGCCATATATCAAGAAATCGAAACCGAACGTTTTAACCTTATGATAGAAAACGGAAAATCTTAATCATTAGAAACGAAATAACCATAAATATTATACAAACTCCAAACAGCGAAAATATATTACAAAGCCAAACCAATCGACTACATTATTTTTACTTCAAAGTCGAATACGTTATTGGCTCACTCGATCCCTTGCATAGCATACATTTAGTTCATATAATTAAGCCATGGAGCTTTTGCCGGTAGTAAACGAGTTCTTGAGAGGGTATGAAACTCGCATAGCGATTCCACATAAGCCTCTTGGATTGGCAATGTTGCGTGCCATCTTCATGTAGCCAGCCTCTCCCCAAGTGTTGCCCCACGAGTTTCTCACGATCCAATAGTTACGACCGTTCTCGGTTCCATACCCGACCACAACAACTCCATGATTTAGGTTTGTTCCGCACCTTCCATCAAAAACTCCCTTTTGAATGGGAAAACAAATTTCAATGCATTATATATAGACTGAAATTTCCGGTTATAAAACTTTAAAAGACATGTGTAAACGAAACTTTTAAGCAATCTTTTTTTATTACCGATTCATAAAGCTGGAATTCTCGGCTGCTAGAATCGATAACGGCAGTTACAGGCTGGTGAGCAACCGCTTTCATGAGAGCTAATTCGTCGTTTGCAGGCAAATTTTCATATCCATCAATCATAACATTCTTGATGTTTTCCTACACAAGTAGTATTG